ATGCGGAAAAGTGGTATTTTATGGAATGTTCACTCGATGATCAAGACAGGCTAAGATTCAAACTATCGGAGCCGGTGGTCGTTGTATATAAGGACGAGAATGTGGAAAACATGGTTAGGAAAACTCTCGGGCATATTGCATGGTTGTTGGAGGAGGTACAGAAGCCAGATTCAGATTCACGTGAAGAGAGGGTAATAAAGAAGCATAGGTCATCGAGTAATCTTGCAGAAAAGTCGGGTTAGATGATCGTGTATATTAGTGCCATAGAAACCTCGTCATATATCCCGGGATACGTCCCGAACTTTGTATTTATTTTTGCATGTATTAATAAAATTTTTTTCTGATCGTTTCCCTGGGAAAAGGTTTTTGCCAGGAAGTGATTTTCTGATTTCGTATGATTAAATATTGTGAACGAATCATGTTAGTGCTGATCCGGAATTGCTGATCACGAGCTAGCTTCCCAATTCATTTAGCGAGATAGATAGTTCATTAACCGTAATATATTGATCATAATGAAGCAACGAATTGGCTTTCTAGGGGATATAAACAAGAAATGAGCTAGCTATCAATTCGTCTTCGCTTTCATTCATCCGTAGCTCAAGTGCCACCATGAACTCTATAAAACACGTCAATTTCGTAAACGATATCCGCGGGTTCGTCCTTACAATACAACGCAAAACGCACGCAAATCTAATAACTCGTTAGTGCGAAATCACAAATTATATCGCATCCAACCGTGGGATACGCAATTCATGCTTTACCGTCATCAATATCAACCGCAGATTTACTGCGAGATCGAATACGAGGAATAAAGCGCGTCAAAAAAAAAGCGTATATGACGAACAAGTGATCCAGGCACGGAAGGGTAATCACACCGAAATACAATTTCTTCAAAAGACGTTATGCGCATCAAGGTCCTGTAAAACTCGACAAATCAACTCCCCATTTTGCAGGCCCTTTATGGGCGAGTCAAATCCTAAATATTGCGACGCTCCTGAACATTCATTTTATCTGGGTTGGGTATATGTTAG